CTTTTGTAGAAAAAAAAATCATTATAGCTATCAAGAAAAAAGTCAATTTCAGAAAATTCTGATATTGTTCATAGGTCTAAAAGGGTCGTTCATCGTGTAATTAGCAGGTATAAAACCGATAAAACGTTAGATGCAAAACCAAAAACCGGCAGACCTCCAAAAACATCGCAAAGAGAAGATCGAAGAATTGTTAGAATATCTACAAAAAACGTTTTGAAACTGCTACATATATTGCCCGTAAATTTAATCAAGAGACAGATAATAAGATCTCAAGGAAAACGGTTGCTCGCAGGTTAAAAAATGCAGGATTGCATGCCCGTATTCCAGCTTCGAAGCCTCTTATTTCAAAGCGAAACCAAAGGGCACGCCTGGAGTATGCGAGAGAACATGTTCTTTGGACTGACGCACAATGGAATACAGTTCATTTCAGTGACGAGTCCAAGTTTACTATATTTGGTTCTGAGGGCAAAACTTACGTACGCCGTAAAACAGGTGAAACACTGTCTTCTCAATGTGTCAAGAAAACCGTTAAGTTTGGTGGCGGCAGTGTGGTGGTGTGGGGAATGTTTTTTATCTTCAGGAGTTGACCATATCATCCGCTTACATGGCAATATCAATGCTGAGTTTTACAAAAGGCTTCTTCAGTAGCATTTGGTACCAAGATTACACCATAATCTTTATTAATCTCTTATTTTCATGCAGGACAATGCACCTTGCCACAAGGCCCAGAAGGTTATGGCTTTATTTGAAGAAGAAAGAATTGCCCTAATGAAGTGGCCAGCCCAGAGCTCCGACCTGAATCCAATAGAAAATGTTTGGAAGATAATTGGAGAAAGGGCTCAGAAAAGAAACCCGAAAAACCAGGATCACCTATTGAAGTTATTGAAAGACGAATGGGAGGGAATTACTGCTGATTTTTGCAAGCAATTAATTAGATCATGTGGTCGACGATGCAGAGAAGCCATTGAAAATAAGGGGATGTTTACCAAATATTAAATTTTCTTGATATTTTGTTCACAATCAAGTATTAACAAGATCTTTCCTTAACTTTTGTTCAGTAGCTTATTTCCTTTGTTTCATTTAATCTTTATTTTTTTTAAAAAAACTATTTAAAATTTTGTAACTTTGTATAATATTTATGCATTACACCCTAATCTTTATTTGGTAAAAATTTCATTGCTAAGCATGCATTACTTTTTAAGTAATACACATTTATGTCTTTGTTGTTTCCGTTCCTTATATTATGGCCGCTACTGTATATGCGATCTGACAACGACAGAAGTATCTCTGTTCTGTGGGTGGCTGGAAGAATTCTTGGCAGGATCATCTTGAACAGACTCAACTCTTCTCTGGCACATTGAGCCTTGTCTTTTGATTTGGTAGACGCACTGTGGACATGAATTTTCAGTTTAAGACAACTACAGTAGAAAACATGAGAACATGACAAGGATTTATTTATTGCATTCGGTGATCTCACTAAGGCCATTGATGCCGTTTGAAAGAATACTCTCTGAGTCATAATTGGGAAGCTGGGTGTTGCTGAAAACATGGTCAATGGTATCTTTCTTTTAGAGAGTGATGGCTCCATTGTATCCAGTGGAGAGTCGAATATATATATATGTGTGTGTGTGTGTTTGAACATTGAAGTCAACATTCAGAGGTATGAAACAGCCTGTCGCCTAGGAGTGTTGACTTCAGTGTTCACTTTTATAATTACATACATCTCTGCCCTATAGCATCTCTGATATTATATATATATATATATATATAAATATATATAGATAGATAGATAGAAAAGATAGATTTGTATCATATATATTTTCCCCTGGGAAAACAAAAAACAAGGACAAAAGTCCATATAATTATATGTCCACAAATAGCTGAGTTTTTAGTAGTGACTTAACTAATAAGTGTATCGTTTAACAATAGCAGGATATTCATTTCGTGAGGATGCACATATGATTTTTACATACAGCTACGCGAATGGTAATGGTCACTTGACTGCATGGCTGTAGCAGATTACTTTTCCAGACCAAAGGCAGCCGAGTCATCCAATCTTTGCTGTTGCTTATTGTCAGATCCGGGACACCACAAACTTTTGATCGAGAAAGACGGTGATCCGCTCGTACACCTGACCACGTTCTACATGCAGTCGGAGACGATCCAAGTATCAGCAAATATGTTACGTCGTCCCCCGGTCGCAGCGTCAACTGTAACGTTCTATCCTGATCTACCACGGCGCCAGTTCCAGGGTCCTATCCCGGTCACGACACCAGTTGTGACGTCCCTGAACAGCACCAATTGTGACGTCTTCGCCGCGGCGCCAGCTGTTCGCTCCTCGCTGCTCCGTCCGGGGGTCGCTGCTCCAAACGTGACGTCCGCCTGTCGCGTCAGTCGTGTTGTCTCGTCCTGTGACGACCAACTGGCTTGGTATCGCTCGCGGCACCCAAATGTGACGTTCTAACCTTTTGGTGATTCGGGTGGGAATCTGGTTAGATTTGATATCAGCAACGCCGTTCCCAACTCGCTTCCAACGCCTGGTTACCAAGGTAACTGCACTGATCTCCAGTCTGCCTACCCACGTTGTGAATTGATCTTAGACAGACGAGATCAAACAGTGGTTGGGGCCATAATGCAAATTGAGTTCAACGGGGGTGATAACACACAAATATGCATAAAAGAAAATAAAATGAAAACTCAAAAAGTTCAAAGTATCAAAGAAAAAGGTAACAAACTTTATGTCTAGTTGTTCGATACATAGGACTGGATCTATCTCCCGACCCGTTCTGTGGATTGTGACACGTCGTTTTCGCTAGGCAAGTTTTAATGCTTCAAGTTGTCCGCTCTCTAAGAAATTTGTGTTTCGGTGTGTCTTTGGACGAAAGTCGAAAAATTTATTTCGGTGGTCTGGTCCTAAGTCGCTCTTCAAAATAATTGTTCTTGGTTGAAGAGGAGTCCGAAATTTTGCGTGAATCTTGATCAGCTATCTTGATCTATCATCTCTGCCGCCACGGCCCGAACTCCTGGACACTCATCTCTGCTCTCAGGGCTCGAACTACTGGACACTCATCTCTGCCGTCAGGGCTCGAACTACTGGACACTCATCTCTGCCGTCAGGGCGCGAACTACTGGGCACTCATCTCTGCCGTCAAGGCGCGAACTACTGGGCACTCATCTCTGCCGTCAGGGCGCGAACATTCTTCTGCCGGCCAGGGTCCGAACTACTGGGAACTCATCTCTGCCGTCAGGGCGCGAACTCATTTCTGCCTGTTGGGGCCTGGCTTTTATTGACGCCGACAAAAACCGGGTTGGGTCTGTTGGCGTCGGGGAGTTCCTCAATAATTCTAAATACATATCCACCTCTTTTATTTCTGGTTAGGATTTTCCACTCTTTTCCATTTTTGGTAACTTTTTTTTCACTCCCACTTTCTCACCATGCTTCTGAGAGGCGTGAACTGCCCTCCCCACTTCTTCGTAGCGGCTTCTCATACTTATACTCTGGATGGGGACGTCGACAGCCTTCTTCGTGCGTCACGTGATCACTCTCGGCCAATGAGGTCTTGGTCGGGTATCTTTCCTCCTCCTTCGTGCGTCATCTGATCACCACTTGACCAATGACGTCTTAGTCGGGCGTGAACAACCCGCGGCTTTGTTTCGGAAAAAAATACCTTACTTAACTAAAAAATTAATTATCTCTCCTCTTTCCTTTTTTTCTTCCTTTCAAATCGCCGTTATCATGAGCGGATAATATGACAACTCTTTGTTCAACACGTGGCGTTTGTCAAGCAGTTTATCGCTAATTCATCAGATGGCTGGTTTTCCGACATGGCCTCAGAAAAGAATTTTCTCCAAATTTTCAGTCGGTCTGAAGTCTCCAAGGAAGAAATAAAAACATTTCTTATTCCATTCATTTTCCTTCGGTTCATGTGTCTGATAACAAAATTTTATTATCGCAGGGCAAAAGTTTGCCGAAAAGAGTTTAGTTAGCGAGACTTCTTGTGTGGGATTTTAATTTTCCATATCTAGCTAAGGCTCCGTAGCTACACCTGTGTTTTGTCAATTATCAAAATCTAACGTTTTCAAGGGGACTTTCTTGATAACACAATTCCATTCGCGCAGGCCAAGTAGGAAAATCGGTCAATGATTGCTCGCAGGTGGCCTTTAATTTTCATATCTGTCCAAAGTCTTATTTTAGTCGCCTGTTTCTTGTCGTCACTTATCGAAATAACATTTTCGCTTGAATTTTTCCTTCGGCCGGTGGTCTGTGTTTTGATAATAAGATGCCTTCTTGTACCAATAGTTTGTTTTCATATCCTTAGATAACACTTCCCTACCCACTCAATCTCATTGTCATTGTAATGCCACTTATCCAAAATAACCCTTTTTTTATTGCCTCTTAAGCCGTGTGTGTGTTCGCTTATCACCTATGATCCGTCTCGCATTACTTTTTCCCTTCCTTTCTTCTTTTCTTTCCTTTTCCCTTTTTGCCTTTCTTTCTCTGCCTGGATGCCTGGTGCCACAAATATCAGATGAAACAACATTTAAACAACACTTAATAATATTAACTTTGAAAATGGACAAAATATTTTGACTGCTTTTTTTTTAAATTAAAACATTTTATAAAACATAAATACAACAAACTATTTCTTATTTAACAGTTATTTAATCCTTAAAAATGGCTAAATATATAGCCGAAAGCGTTCGGATAAAAACAACATTCGGGCAGTATTTATATAATTCATCTTCTGAAAAGAAAAACAATTAGATCGTATGGGAAATTGTATAAAAAACCTAATAAAAGCACGTTGTATGTCGTATTCAATGAAATACATATATATATATATATATATATATATATATATATATATATATATATATATACGCATATATCAACAAAAGCATAACATGATATTGTTTATTAATCCTTTATGTAGAGACTGAAGATGGTGTAAATAAACACCGAAATATTAAAAACATTCAACCTGTATCTCAACGGTTGATTAACGAAAAGTACGTGTATCATTGATAGGTGATCCTTTACTGAGCATACTCCTTGATACTTTCGTCCACATAGATATTTTTCGCTGTTTCTCTCCGAGTTCCAAAAGAAACTTCTTCACTTTTTCCTGTACCATTTCGTTCTTCTTCTGATTCAACAACAACAGATTTTGTACGAAATTGGTCCGCCTGTTTCCGGAAACTCCAACTTCCGGTTCTTCCAGGATGTGTATTTCTCGCAGACGGCGCAGGGTTAAAGCCTCAAGAAATTTCGTCTGGCAGACAACAGTGCAATTGCGTCTTGTCTTGGCCGCCCTGAAACGTGACCATTTCGCTGCTGTTGAAGAATTTCTCTTTTGAGTGAAATCATCTCTGAGTCCAGCCCATTGTTCTTTGCAAGATGATGGTCTTTTATTTAAAAGCGAAGTATCATATTTTATAGAGGAACTGGATTGTGACGATGTTTTAAAGAATGGTGCTGATTTCGCTGGTTTTAGATTAGAACTTGCCAAAATCCTAGATCTGTTGGGGCGTTCAATCACTGAGTAAGGTCGAGAAATATCAAACGATGATATGCGGTCGAAGCAGTTGGTAGGACTGTATATACTCGAGGCCGTTCTGTAGTAGTGATTTCCGGTTTCATACGTTACAGGAAGGGAACTCTTTTTATCTGACTTTCGGTGAATCGCAGCTGAATTATTTTCTCGTCTGAGGTCGAGAGGACCGCTTTCTGGACAACGGTAGATTTTATTAGATTCTTTATTCGTCAGCTTTTCGATTACATAATTTTGCATGGGCACTGGACATTTATAGTGCAAATTAGCCGCAAGACAAAAAGGGGCAGTGTTCTTAAGGGATGGTCGCAATGCTTGTAGCTTTTCCAAATTTTCCATGGTTCTAGTGATTTCTGATTGTCGGTTGAGAAAACAACGGTGTTCATCCTTACACAAGGAAACAACTTGACACCGCATGTTATCTTCCAATCTTTCATTCTTGTAGTAAACATCGCTGTGGTCAATACAAACAAATTCCTTCCGTGATTTCGGCAAGTTCATCATTCGAAATTATTTTAAATATCAGCCTCGTCAATGTAGGAAGATTTGAAAAAAAAATATCAAATTTTGTTCACGATCGTTTGGGACGTTCAGTTCCGGTATTTCTAGTTCTGTTTATCTGAAACGAAAATAAAAAAATATTTATTCAATATCGTTAAAGAGTTTAAACCTAGAAATGTTTTTCATTTTTTAATTTCACCTTAAACAAGGTGATAAAAGCCACAACGATACAAAGGGTTAGTGAGAGAGAAAGAAAAAGAGAGGGAAATAAAAGAACAGGTTTAAAAGAGAAGGAAGATGAAGTTGATATTGCATTTATATCTTTGATGTTCGTAGTGAACAGGACATCAGGAAACTTGAATAAAGTTCCACGAGTGGAAAATTAGAGAGAAGAATCTATTAGTATAGAATTTACGGTGACAAGTAGTAATTGCAACAGGGAAATTATAAAACCTGTTCGCCAATTTAGTACTGCTCTTAAATTCTTGAAAATTAGTACCAAAGAGGAGAGCTCTTCAGCACAATTACCGTGAAAATATTTATAGAAATGCCACAGGGAATCTACATTACGACGACGAGACAAGTGACTAAATCCCAGATGCCAGGTCAGGACAGATAAGATTGCAGATTATTTCTTTGGGTATATTTTCAAAAATCTCTTCATATCCATGGTAATTTTTTTATTAAAAAATAATATCACGTAAATATACACAGATATAATTCTCATTAGTGCAAATGTAACATTTAGTTGTTACACATGTTTGAGTAGACACACTTGTATTTTGTACAGTGAAACTAATGTCCACCGGCCTAGTAATCCAATGTCATAATGAAGAAGATGTGCTTCTGGTTTATCATGACACGAAAAAATAACTTACCCACCTCCACCTTCTGAGATTACTTTTCTATTTAGTGTAGACCTGACATTTAATTGGTTAACCAAGACATACACACAAGTCTATTTTTAATTCTGACTTTACGTTTTCCAACTCACTTTTAATTATTTTTTAAAGTTCCTTAAAACACATTTAATCACTAGTTACGTACCATGACCTGAAGAAGTACAATCATAGTATTGAAACATGAAAGTTTTTGTCCAGAGATTTCAACATCTTTTTATTATAATATCTTATAATAATAATAATAATAATAATAATATATTTCTCTACTTGTTATTGAGCACTTTTTAAAAAGTAAATACTACGAACAGTGTAATTTTACCCCATGTGTTCTTTTTCTGATATATATATATATATATATATATATATATATATATATATATATTCATCTCATGATTACAAGAAAATTTAAATAAAAATCTTAATTGCAGCACTTTTTCAGTCGTCTTCAACGAAACCTGTATAAAATCGTGGTTGTTGCCCAAATACACAATTATACATAATTATATATATATATATATATATATATATCGACCAGCAATAGTTTGTTGCATGTTTGAACGCAACCTTCAAGTCATTTATGGCCTAACATTGCGTTCAATGCCCATTTGATCTTATATTTAGATACTTAATATATATATATATATATATATATATATATATATATATAATATGGTGAATAACCCGCAATTAACCTATTAAAATCCTATACGACAAAATATTTTATCGTAAATATTTCTGATCAAAACAAAATTGGTATCCTATCGTCGTCCATTAAATATAAGTATATACCGAAATATTTACATACACTGATAGCTTAATAAAAATCTATTATGTATGATAGTCATGAATAATATCTGTTGAAATATCGTTTAAGCGAACGTGCTGTTTAGTTTTTAATCAAATAAATGCCACATTCATAAAAAGGAATCCTTAAGGATCACATAAAAAGTGATTTTAAAGGTTTTGCACACATTCATTTGGTAAAGAAAGTAAAATAAAAGCGTTTTGCTTAAAAGATTTTCGTCTACCATTTTAGAAATAAAATCCCATTAAGACAATCTCATCAACAGCGGACATAAAATCCCCGGATGGAATGCTGCTATTAGTGAAAGAAAAAAAGACTATAGAGATGGAACGAATATCTCGGAGAAATATTCCACGAACAACCGGCAATATACAGAACTACCAACGGACCGGAAATATTAAAATCTTAAGTGGAACATGCGCTGGCCAAACTGAAATGAAACGAAGTGGAACTGATTAGAGATGCTGGCAGACTTAGATGATTTCGGTATAGACAAGATTACAGAAATAATGAATTAAATCTACAACGGTGATGATATACCTGAAGACATAAATAGATCTATTTTCATAGCATTGCTTAAGAAAACAGGTGCAAAAGAATGTGAACTCCACCTAACAATCAGCCGAATGAGCCACATGAGAAAACTCATCATCCGAATTCTAATGAATAGTTCTCGCAGCAAAATCAGACCAGAGATAAGACAAGAACAGTATAGATTCGTCAAAAACACTGGAACAAAAAACGCGACATTTATGCACAGAATGTTATCAGAAGGAGCAATGCAAAGAAAGACGTGTACCTGCGCTTAATATATTATGCAAAGGCGTTGGATAAATTATGCTACAAAGATCTGTTTGAATTGCTTAGCAACCTTGACATATTTGGGAAAGGTTATTAGAATAATTAAGAACATATAATGGCAGCAAACCGCTTGCTTCGGATATAAAATGAGTTTAACAAATAAACAAACAGAAAGGTGTGGAATACAAGAATGTGTCTTCTCAGAGTGAAGCAATTCTGAGAGAACTAAAAATCCTAGCTACCTACAATCTTAACAACATAAGAAATGCAGATGACATAGTGTTGATAGTAGACACAGAAAGAAAACTACAAAAACATCTCACAGAATGTAATGAAAGAAAGCGAAAACAAAGGATTAAATATCAACTATAAGAAAACAGCAAGCATGGTCGTGAGCGAAGGGATGTGCCGAAAATGCAAGAAAATCAAAGAAATACACAAATTTAAATATCTGGGAAGTGTTTTAACTGAGAATGGCTGGTGCAAAACTGAAATCCGAAGGGATAACCAAAGATGCATTTTAAAAGCTAAGCAGAGTACAGTGTAACCCAGATATAAGTGACCCGGATATAAGAGAAACCCGGATATAAGAGAGATTTTCTCTGGTCCCAAATTAGAGCCTGTGTTAATGTATATAAAATAGACCAAACCCTGATATAAGAGAAACCTCGATATAAGAGGCTTCTTCTCCCGTCCCGACAACTCTCTTATATCCGGATTACACTGTATTAAGAAACAGAAACTGTTACGTGATATCCGTCGTTCTATATAGCAGCGAATGTTGGACAGTCTCCACAAAGATGAAGAAGAGACTCAAAGCAATAGAAATATGGTTCTACAGAAGGATATTGAGGATAACATGGACCGAATATGAGCAACGAAAAAGGAAACGAAAAGGAAACTTATACTTAACATCAGGAAGAGATAGATGAAATTTCTTGGGCAAATAATGAGGAGGGAGGGCCTGAAAAATCTGATATTACAAGCAATATTTTTTGAAGAAAAAATTATTATAGAGCAATGCTTAAAAAAAACAATTACCAGTAATACAAACAGCTATACATTTTTTGAAAAAAAATATTACCAGCTGTGTATTTTTGGAAAAAATATTACCAGCTATACATTTTTTTGGAAAAAAAAATATTACCAGCTATACATTTTTGGAAAAAATATTACCAGTTATACATTTTTTGAAAAAAAATATTACCAGCTATACATTTTTGGAAAAAATATTTCCGCCTACAGTTTTTGAATGAAAAATATTCCCAGGAATAGATTTTTGAAGAAAAAAATATTATCAGCAATACATTTTTGCAAAGAAGTATTACCAGCAATAAAAATTTTGCCGGCATTTAATAACCAATTGAAGTTGCTATGGCGTAAACCAAACCAAACCAAACCAACCCTAATCACAAAACCAAACAACCTTCACACACATAGGAACTGTAATAAATTATTAACCTAATACACTCCTTGTTTTGTTACAGATTTGTAACCGGAACAATGTCGTAAAATTATTTGCGGAATCCTGAGATTTTCTTCGGATAATCCGATAATCAGATAATCGGTATTGTAATAATAAAAGTTTCAGTGTAGTTGATTTTCCGTTCAAAAGAAATATCTCTTTTTATACCAAGTCTTGCAGTATGTGCCATAGGAATCGAAAATATAAGATTTTCAACATCGCTTCTGGGTGAAAAACGAAGTTCGGGGAAAATTGAAAACTCCTAACTTATTTTTCTACATGCTATGCAAATCTAATGAACGCTCACAACGAAAGAAGCGCGTTTCTTAAACAACGGAAATGAAACTTGCTTTGTTGAAGATGCCGCCATGAATGAAACGGTAAAATTACCTGAAGTAAAATATATTTGCGTTTATAAAATGTTCCACACTTCGAGACTGCAATATATCCTTTCGTGTTTACACTTGTCTGCTCAAACACAGTATCTGCAAGATAATTAAGTCTCAAAAATATACCAATTGGATGTAATATCTGTGAAACTCTGAATAAAAATAAGATATGTGGACATTTATTATTACGTTGTCATACATAAAATTACGTATTTTAGTTGGTTGTGGATCGTCTATCGAAATAACTTCCTTATTATATAAAACAACTTGACCTATTTCCAGATAATTTTTCTTTCAATATATTGTTACTCATTTATCCAATAAAAATGATTACAATGAAATGATGTCGAATAATCTTACTATATGTTTCCCTACTGGAAAAAGAACCATTTTTTGCACTGAACCATTACATGCGATGAAAAATGAATAACCTTTGAAAGCAGTAAGAGATTAGGCCAGTGTTTAGATGCAAAATTATCACTTAAACAATATCTACAAAAAAAAAAAAAAAATCCACCGTACCGTAAAAGTTAATGGTTACTCTCTGGTGGTCTTTCACAGGGGTTATTCATTCTTGACTTAAGGGAAAACAATAACTGCAACCTTGTATTGTGGAGAAATTGAGTGTATGTTGGAAAATT